CAGAATTGCTTGAGCCAGCGCACTCAGCATCCCTGGTTCCAGCTCCAGCTCCTCCTCTGGCAGTGGGAGGCTCACGCTGAGAGATGACATGGGGGTGGAGGAGACAGTGATGCCACGGCTGGTGCCCACTTCTGGAGTGAGCGGAGGTGGTGCAGGTGCAGGGATGTCAGGTGCAGACACTGCTCCCACCTCCTTGCTTCCCCTGGCAACACAAGTGTCATGGCTGCTTGGGAAGAGAATCCATCTGTGTTTGGGCAGGGAGGGGCTTGCAGCTCTAGCTCTAGCTCTCCCCTACCCCCTCTCCCTCCCCTGCCAGAAGACCTGGCACCTGCCTTTCCAGCACGCTTCATATTGATCTTTCCTGTGCTACAAAAGGTCTGTGTGTGTGTATCACTCCTTTTGTGTTGTGTGTTTTATTCCCTCTGTTGCATGCGTGCACTGGACTCCTCTTTGACTGTTTGCTTTGGTGTTAAGAGCTATGTAAAAATTGTGTGCTGTCTGTCTGTCTGTCTGTCTTCTTCTCCTATGAATATCTGATTTTTCTTCTTTATATTGTGTGTGTGTGTGTGCGCGTGTGTGTGCGAGTGTGTGTGTGTGTGTGTGTGTGCATGTGCACGTGCATGTGTGCAATCTGTGTGCCTCCCTGCACAGTGATGGATCACACTGGCAGGGAAAACACAGCTTTCTTTTTTCAAAATTTGCACAAAAAAAGGGCAAATATAAATTGAAAGAAATGAATTGAATAGTACTAAGAGATGCTAGATAATGTAAGAGATGTAAGATAAGCTAAATCCTACCCAATCCTTTCTAACAACAAAAAGGAGCAGGCAAGTTCAACTACTGAGTAAAGCAACCAAGCTGAGATGCCTGTGTCTGAGGGTACCTTTCTCACGCAGTTCCTGAGAGAGAACAATCTTGCAAAAGGCACAGGATTCCTCCAAACAGAGGCTTTTATGTTGTTTCTAGGCCCCTCCCCCCAGATGCTGTAGTTGGAAAAGCAGCCAGAGACAAATCCTTCTCACTGGCCACCCACACATGTCAGTCTTCGCCCCTACCTCCCGCTCTCCCTCCCTCACCCGTTCCCCTTCCCTCTTCTAACTTTCACTTTCAGTGTCCAAAGCATCCAAAGCTTTTCCGAAGCTCTTTGGAAGCTCTGAACCACTTCAGACAACTTGAATGAGCCGGCACTTCACTCCAGGCATGCTGCTTTGGACACCAAAGCGTCCAAAGAGGCCCCGGATCTGAAGCGCAATCCGAAGCTTCACACAGCCCTAATAATTGTAGGAGTCTATTATAGACCTCCCAACCAAGAAGAAGAACTGGATCATGAATTCAATAGGGAACTGGCTGAGGCCTCATTCTCCTGATGCGTGATCATCATGGGGGACTTCAACCTCTCCAACATCTTGTGGGAAGAGTAGACAGCCAAATCTGATCAGTCGCATAGCTTTTTCTCTTACACTGATGACCTCTATCTAATGCAAGAGGTCTATGGGCCGATTAGGGGAGAGGCACTGCTGGATCTGGTTCTGGCCAAAGGGGATGATCTGGTGAGGGATCTGAGGATCAAGGGGAAGCTTGGTGACAGCAACCATGAACTGATCACTTTCTCTATCCAATTCAGGGTGGGCAAATCCTTCAATAAAACAGAAATCCTCAACTTTGGGAAGGCTGACTTTCACAAACTCAGGAGACTCCTTAAGAATGCAATCCTCAAAGAGCAAGGGAAGTCCATCCCAACCCACAGGAAATGCAGTCAGCAGACAGGGAATCCCCCTTGGCTAAACAGGGAATTTTTGGAGCCCCTGAAACTTAAAAGAGAAGCCTATCCCAGATGGAATATGATGGTGGGGGCGGCAGTGATATGCCAGTGCCCTGCCCCTGCCCGTTCTGTTGCTCATGACACACATGCCCCCTGCCCCCAGCCCTGCTGCTTCCCTCACTCTGGACCCACTGACCCCAGCCCTGCCAGTGCCCCTCACTCCCAAAGTGCAGTACCCCGCCCCACACCCCTTGCTGGCACCCGTCACTCCTGACCTGCATCTCCCTGGCACTGTCAGTACTCTGTACACCCAACCCACAGTCACCCGTCCCATCCCCCATGCCCCTCACTCTCAGCCAGCAGCCCCCTGCCCCTCAGCCCTGCTGGTGCCCCTCACTCATGACCTGCAGCCCCCTGCCCTGCCCTCCAGCCCTGCTGGTGCTCCTCACTCCCAATCCATAGCACTGCCCCACCAGCACTGCTGGTGTCCCGCATTCTGCACCCACAACCTCTGCCTGTTCCCAGACCTGATGGTGCCCCTCATTCCTGGCCCACAGACCCCTGCCCCCACCCCAGCCCTGCTGCCCAAGCAGCTCCCACATTGCATATGCCTGCTCTCTCTCTTACACATACACACTCACTCACTCTCTCTCACCAGGCTTGCTGGAGCCCGCATAGGGAGCACGTCACCCGCAACAGCCAATTGCCCTACCCGCTGCTCCCAGCCCCAAGCAGCTGGCCCAGGAGAGCAGAAAACACAGACATTTTCTATTTTAAAAACCCGCCTGGATGCAGCATGGGGGGCCAAAAAAGGACACATCCAGGAAAACTCAGACATATGGTAACCCTAGTTCAGGTCACCACACCACGTGGTACGCATTTAGTGCCTGTTCTAGCTCGCTTCTTGAAGCTGGCTCCCTGGGCTGCAAATATAGGGAGATGTGTGGGACCAGGAAGAAGCAAATAAGCCAGAGCTTGCAGGGCCCATGAGATGTGGTGCTGGCCTTGACGGGAAAGGCGCCTGGTTTCTCATCTGGGCTTTGGTCCCAGGTCTGTTTATCCAGGGAACATTCAATGCCAAATGTAACTGTGCTGTATTTTCCAGTCATATTGAGAACACACACCATTTTTTTCCCTGAAGGACCAGTAATTTTTATGTGGAGAATCTCCATCTCTTACTGCAACGCGGGTCAGTCTTTTGCTAGGCTGCAAACTCACAACCACTCTAAACTACAGGTCAATCCCTGAGCCCACGGGACCCAACAGGAAACATCTATTGGGTCCAGGGGATTGCTGTAACTCCTGGTGTTTCCTGCACAGTGCCATGAGTTACAGTGGAGACTTGCATGTCTATCAGCTCCCTCTGTTTCCACCATCAATAAGTATCAGTGAAGGAAAGTAAATTGCCTGAAAACCCATAGGAGGGAGACTTAGCCATTGACAGGAGCTGAGATCAAGCCACTCTCCTCTGGCTCTTCAGCCTCCTTCTCCATTTCCTTCACATGTGAGCTGGCAGAGGTATTCCACATTGCATCACATGATATAGGATGGACTGTGCCAAGAATACCTTGTTCACCATTACAGTGCTTTGCTGTAGTGTACCAGATGGATGGAGGCAACTCCATCACATCTTACACATGCTGAGAACTGTATCAGTTACTGATGTGGTAATTGCTCCTCACCGTCATTGCAAGGTGCACTATCAGGATGCAGTGCAATGGCCAAAGGCAGTAACTTTAGTAACCTGTAGGCAGAGTGGGAAACAGACACGCTTCAGCACTCCCAAAGGGCAGTTTTCTAATGCAGGAGTTGTGTGTGGAAGTCTCCAAAGGTTGCGTCTAGACTGTGGAAAATGTGCTGTGCTGGCACAGACATATTCTAAGAGGGGAAATCAAGTTTAAGGGGTAACTCACTGAACAGCCAAACACAGAGGAACTCTTCCCTCTGGAATCAGCTGCAGAGATCAGGCCGTGACCACACACTGATGTCATGGCAGGGCTATGAAAGCAGAAGCAAACTATGTCTGATGCAGTGGAAAGGTGGAACCAACGGAGGGATGCAAATGAGGAAGAGGAGAGCAAATAGTTAGTGGTGTTGGTGACACATGCGCAGGCATCTCATCTAAGTACCTGCTCATAATAGTGGCCCAGTGGGTAGCCTTTGGTTTAGGTACAAGCCAAGATAAGAAAGGGCGGTAGAATTGAGTCAAGATAAGCACTGTTCCATGCAAATGTCAGAAGTTCATCCTTCACTTTCAGAATCACACCCTTCAGTTTGGTAGGGTCCTTCACATAAGCACATTTAAAGAGCCAAATTGGGTCCAACCAATGGTTCATCCAGACCCTATTCTGTCTCCAAAAGTGGGAGAAGTAGATGCTATAGAGGGAGAGCTTTGGACTAGATATCTCTACCCACCCTGGCATCCACCATTTACTGGTTTAGAGAGACCAGAAGAAACATCTCCAGCCATTTTGTTTCATAACCATTAATAGTTCAATCATCCATGAATTTATCCAGTCCCTTTTTGAACCTGGCTGTGCTATCTTCCTCCACCACCTCCTGTGGCAATGAACACCACAAGTAAACTAGGCATTGCATTAAAAAAGTACTTTCTCTTGTTAATTTTAAACCTGTCACCTACAAATTTCAGTGGGTGCCCCCTGAGTTGATGTTTGTAGAGTATGGCATGCTGGGCTGATGTTTGTAGGATACTTAAAGAAACTTTTTGTCCCACAGTCCTCTACCATAGCAGTATCAGGAAGTGTTGCATTCCAGTTTTCTCAGAAAAGAAATCACCACAAGATCTCTGAATATACTAAAGTCTTTCACTCATTCCAGGATACAAACATTTGTTTCTGCTTATGGTCCCCAAGCCCAAAGCTGCAGCACAAGCAGCAAACACTTGCATGTAAAATACCAAGAATTATTAATTTGAGTTACAACACAGACAAGATGTCTGGTAAAGGCAGCTCTTTAGATTAATGCTATCAGATAATGCTAAACATTACATTTTTTTTTAAATCTAATTACAGCGTTAGGGATATTCTTAGAAAAATGTAACTGACTGGAACGGATTTCGAATTAGGATGAACATCACCCTTACCTATTCCATCATCTCTCTCTTGTAAATGATCATACTTGACAATAAATAAGCAATAGGGGAAAATATTGACAGAGAAATATTGAGTTATTTTCACATATTTTATCACTGATAACATGCTAAACTATACATATAGAAATAACATTATATATATAGTAATATAAGGTGATATATGAAGTGTGCAATTGAGTTATACCTGTCTAGGCATGTGCATTAAAAAGGCAAGTGCAGTGCATTTGAGCAATGATCATTTTGATGAAAGAAACCTTTGATTACTAAAATTATTCCTATGGAATTTTCTCTACTCTAGTTCTATCTGCCTAATATTTGAAGGGAGAAAGAAAAAATTAATCATGTCATGTGAAAAATTAATCATTAATCATGTGAAACACACCTGGGGCCAAATTCTAAGCTGGTATGTGTCAATGTGGCATCACTGACTTGAAGGAAACATTCTGATATCCTCCAGCTGAGGACTTGTGCCAGATGAAGGTGTGTAGCAGCATAGTCGCTATTTCTTCGTTTAGTGTCCAGCTCTTTTGTTTCTTCCCCAAATACTTCTGGAGACATTAAAGTTCATCTCTGAAACCCAAGCTAACAGTCTCTGGCTCCTCTTCCTGCTGCAGCTGTTGCTCTGGAGGTAGGTTGCTATCCCGATGAATGTTTCTTGCTGCTCTCACAGCAGATTTCATAGAAGAATCAATCCAGGCATGAGGCCAAGCTGTGTGCTCTCCTGCAAAATGGACCCTTCCTTCATTCTGAAACAGGGCCTTGGAATAGTCCATAAACTGGTACGGGGTGAAGAAGGCGAACGCCCCCATGGAATGTTTGTCCAAGTTCCACCTTTTTATCACATGCTTATCACAGACGTACTGGATGTGGTCCTTGGGTATGCCGTGTACTTCTGCAAGGTCGTCTAGCACTACATCAATGCACTTCTCATCACTGAGAGGAACGAAGAAGTCAGCATCATCGTTCCAAGTATAGGAAGCCAGGATCACACCCACACCACTGGAGAAGTTGTGGTTGGGTTAGTAGATGAACCTGGAGGGACGATCCGTGATTGACTGCCCACCATGAATCCCATCTCTTTCCCAGAACCTTTCAGTGCAGGCCAAGGCAATCTTGGTGGAGCTGGAGTAGTGAACAGAGCGCAAGGCATGTGCCTTTTGGGGGGAAAGCAGTGGCATAAATTTGATGAGTCTCATGGCTTTGGCTGAGGTGGTAATAAGGACATAGTCAACCATCAGGACATAAGGAGTCAGTGTGTCTGGTGCACGGTAAACAACTCTAACCTTATTACCCTTTGTTATTATCTTCTCAACCGTGGAGTTAAGCTGGACAATGCCAGGCATAGAGTAATAGAAGGCAATGGGCAACTGGTCAAAGCCCCCTGTGATCTCATCAAAGCTGAAAAAAATAAAAAAGTGAAAGTCAAACCAGACACTTTAATATTTGTAGCAGTCACATGATTGCTTCTAAGAGGTATGGCGGAGAAGGGGATCCCTCTAAGCTACGGTTAGCATATAACATGACTCTCTTAACAAGATTCCCACCTAAAGGAATCTAGGTGGAGTGATTCAAACAGGCCCCAAAACTCAACAGGCACCTCTATTTTTTATGGCAAACTTCCCTAGATGTTTACACTGGGGCTTCTGAGTATCCTCAAAAGTGATTCTGAGCTCCTAATTACTGACTTAGATCCACTACAATTCAAAGTGTTGCTGGGCGCACCTCAATTCTGCTTAAGTCTCTGCAGAGGTTGGTGGGGAAAAAAAGTACACATCTCATTCACACTGACTATAGCACAGTGGTTAGAGTGCTATTGGGGTAACAGGTGCCTCCTGAGTTGGGGGGGGAGGGGAGGGGCACAATTTGTGGGGGGACCAAAAGCCCCACATCCACTCATATACTTCTGTGTTGTGGCTTAGTGCCTCCCCTGCAACATGCTGCCGGCCCGCATAGCAAAAAAACTGCTCTGTCCTGGGTGGTGCCAAGTCAGGGACCAATCTCAGAGGGGCACATGCCCCCCCATGCCCACCCTACCAGTCGCCTGTGAGCACTGTGCTGGGAAGTTGGAGGGAAGCAGTTTTAGCTTCACTCTGGGTGAGAGAGGCCTAAAGCCCCAGTTATCTGTTTCTCTGGGTGAGTGCCTTAACCACTCAGCTAGGAAGACTGAAATATGAAGACCTGTCATTTGGGCATATCAAGTGCAATAGGTGTTGCCACAAATAAATTAGAGTTCCTGTTCCTGCCTGGTAACACCTCAGAAAAAACAGAGGCAATATCTTAGCAGTAAAGTAGAATTCAAGGCCTGGCATACTGTACATGCATATGACACACTAGGAAGAGTGACTGTCCCTGGTTTAGAAATAGGGAAACCAAGGAACAAAGGAAGCAACACTCTCCAATGCTGCCCCATGAAATCTTTAGCTGAGCCAGGAACTGAACTCACATGAGTCCCAATCCAGTGTTTTAACACTCCTTAAAAAAAAAATGACTGAGAAGGAAATAGTAAGAATTGCAGCCCACCACAGGCTTGAGCCAAAGACCTTCACTTGGAGCAGATAATCACATCAGGGACTACAAGGCCCCCAGAAATCTCTCAAAACACAGCATAAGATGACATGGGACACTGTTGCTGCTATTGGCTCTCTGTGCAGAGGTGAATTTCACCAAAACTGAAAAAACACAGATTGTTCTGCAAAGGTTGTTCCCTAATAACATTTCTGATTGAGCAATGAAGAGGTGGAACAGGGGCGGGTAAAATACAGCCCGCAGGCTGGATCCAGCCCTTCAGACCATTCTGTCTGGCACACAGGGCCCCTGAAAACTTTAGACAATTAATATTTATCAGCTCCTGGCTGCCTGACAAAGATGAGCAAAGATGAGCGCCAGCCAGCCTCCAGCACCACCTGGCCCCCGGCTGTATTGCCAGATCATGGGAACACTAGGCACGCAAACACGTGTGTGTGTGTGTGTGTGTGTGTGTGTAGTGAGAGAGGCAGTGTGTGTGTGTGTGTGTGTGTGTGTGTGTGTGTGTGTGTTCAGAGGGTGAGTCGCACATGCAAACCCCACCATCCCCATTCACCCACACCCCTCCTCGCACTGCCATACACACAAATCCCCACACTCACACCCTCCAACCACCCTCCCCACCCCACAGCCCCCCCACAAACCCCATACCCACTCACAGCCCATATATGCACACACACCCACATGATCACCCTACAGCCACCCCCCACAAACCCACTGCACACACCCACAGCCTCCCCACACCCCACATATACACCCATCCACAATATACAGGAGTAAGACTTCATTTTAAACTATTATGCAATCACCTCTATATATAATACACAAACACATGTAAATCAGGACAAAAAATATTTTTTGAAGTCAAATTAATGAATGTTGTAGATGTTAGATTTTTAGAATATAATTTGGTATTTCTCTGGTTCTGAGATGGCAAAACCCCTTGCCGAAAGAAGTATTTCTGGGAGCAAGGGGTGGGAGCTCTGGCAGCAAAGGTCAGGGGTTAGAGGCCGGGACTTCCAATCCCAAGATTGCAAAAAGGGGGTGGGGTACCTGTCAATGAGTGGGGCTACCCATACGGCCCGTGATACGTGCTAAAACTCGGTGAGTGGCCCTCCACCCAAAATAACTGCCCTCCCCTGGGCTAGAACACAGACAGCATAGCACCTGTGGTTACACACAGAGGATGCATTCTGCATATCCTAACTGCCACAAAGCAGTTTCAAGCTGAGAAGCCAGTTTCTGTTTCTTTCCCTCTCAATTCTGCAAATAAGGATTTTTTCCTTAATTTCAGTAACATCCAGGGCCCAAAAACCAAGCACTAGGGTCCCATTTCCAAGGTCCTCATTAAACTTGTACAAAAGTTGCTGTCCACCCCAAAGAGTTTGGAATTTCAGTATGTTCCTTCCTTACCCCTCTTCATGAGAGAAGACATCAAAATCCAGGAGAGAGCTGAGAAATGACATGTAGTACCCAGAATCCTCATTCAGCAAGTCACCAATCATCTGCACAGCCCCATGGCTTAAGTTTCCTTCTTTAATCAAATACTCCTGTTGGTGAGGAGAAGAAAGTGACTAACTGGCAACATTTGGGACCTAGTTGGATTGTTTCTGGTAGAAGAAAAAGTCACCGTGCATTCTTGGTGCTAAACTACAAAACCTGTATACACACTGGGGTGTCCCTGAAACAAGAGAAACAATAAATCAGAAGGCAGTTTTTATATCTGCCTTTTCAGGAAGTTCTGTCCCCAAAAGAAGTTGTGTCACTTGGTGTCTTCCTAGGACCATACTCAGCTCTTCTACTCTCTCACTCTCCTGACTTCCTACCTTCCTCATTTAAAGAAGCACACAGAGGCACGGACACATACACATGCACACGCACACAAGTGCATGCATGCACACGCACACACACACACACACACACACACACACACACACACACACACTCTGCAGCTCCTGCATTTGCAACCAGTTTGAAGGAAATACCATCCTACATGGGTTAGCCTCTGTTTGCTCTTGCTGTGCAGCCTATTGCATTGGGTAGTAGCTTCCTTTGTCTCAGATATCTCATATGCCAAAGGATATTAATAGCACCAGTGAAGGATGGTTACTAATAAACATGGGGAAAATATAGAATTTGGGGGTTGGTGGCAGAACCAAATTCAGGAAAGAAAATAATTCAGACAAAATGGAAACAGATTTTCCAATATTTTGACAAAGTAAAAAACACACACACATTCATTTGGTTTTCTTAGGATTTTTAGCCCTTATTGAAAGCCTTTTCTTACACTTTTTAAAATGAATTTAGATGGGTTTTTACATGGAAATAGTTCAAAATTTATAGCAAAAAATGTTTTAAATTGCATTACCGCGTGTAAGGTTTTGGCCTTTCCAAAGGGAAACATTTTATTTTGAAAATGTCAAAATGAACTTGTTTGACATTTTCAACATTTGCCTCACGTTTTTTTAGCTGAAGCTATTTACTGAATTTCACTCGATACTGTAAAGCCACTCTCTTGAAAACTGTTCTTCAGAAAATTTTTCATGAATCCAAACACTTCTCTCTAGCACACCCATTTACTTTATCCAAGTTTGTGATGAATCTATAGCAAGATATGCTTAATCACAAATCTCAGTGCCTTCCATCAAAACAGTATTACAATAAAAATGGAAACAAGACTGAAATATTCAGGATGTTTTTCCCCACAGTCCTGACATTTCCTTGTTTGATTAATAGAGCCATAACTCAGGAGTTAGGTTAAAATGAGGATTCTGGTCATCCAAACCCAGCCAATTCAAGTGTTCATTCAACTTTAGAAAATGATTTTTCCTTTCTCCCTTTGGTTTCTGCTTTATTGGTTGTTACAATAGATGACAAAATTGACTTGAAAAATTACATCACTAGGTTTCCTCTTTGGGGTAAATATGGGTAGCGCAGAGCAATTGTTTCAGTTCTGCTGTTAAACATTTGGATGTTAAAGCACTCAACAAACATTTCCATTACCTTGGTAGAAAAAGAGTCATATTTATCCAAATATTTCTTGCAGTCTGAACGCCGGAACTCCGACATGGCCTGTGTAGGAACCAGGGGCATATGAACAGACAGAAAGAGAAATATGTTTAGAAGGAATAGCAGGTGGGATTCTGACAAATTAACTGGGACCTGAGAAAAACTAGATCAAATCTATTCTGCTGGATAAGGCTATGGACACATGACAATATCACAAATAATCATTATGGGGTAGGGAGTTAACACTCACTAGCTGTTTTACGATAGCTGTTTGTGTGCCAGCCCTTATTCCACAGTACGGGGAACTAATCCATGGAACATTAGCACGTTTTCATTCAGGACATAAGAAGTTTAGTATCCATCTGCCAGGCAGTAAATGCATGCACATGGACATTTACCATACAGCAGCTGATGCGTGGTAAAGCCCCTCAAATTTCACCCCAAGATAGCATGCTCCTACAGCCATAGGGTTACCATACATCCAGGTTTTCCTGGACGTGTCCACTTTTTGGATCCTCTGATCTCCATCTGGGTGTTTTTTTTAAAATTGAACAAATATCTAGGACTAGCAAAGTGCCCATCAAGAATGACGGGGCGGGACCCTGCATCTGTTCCCATGCCTCCCCCTCCAAGCCCCTCCCCACCACTCTGGGTGTGGCCCTGCTGTACCCCTCCCCCACTGCCCCCCTTGCATACTCTGCATCTGACCCACTCCATCTCCCCATCCTCCTCCCCCTTCCCCTCCCCACCGCTCTGGGCCCCCCTCTACCACCTCCATGCCACTCCAGTTCCGGCTGCAGCCCTCCTCCCCCACCATACAGCCAGGCAGGATGGTGGGAGCAGTCCCAGCAGCTGGATGCTGGATTGCCAGGGCTTGGGGACTCTCTTGGGGAGCTGTGTGTGTGTGCGCGCGCGCGCGCGTGTGTGTGTGTGTGTGTTTGGCAGGGGTGTGTGGAGGGGGATAGGTGTGCTGGGGAGGAGCACGTACCTGCCAGCACTGGGGGCTGTATAGTAAATGTACATGTGGATGCATGGAGGAAGGTGCCTGGGTGCTGGGCCTGTGGCAGGGAAGCAGGGGCAAAGGGGAGGCGCCTGCCCTTCCAGTGAGAAAAGGAGCTGGGTGGGCTTTTGGGGGCAGCAGGGAGCTGTGCATCTGGGTCAGCAACACCGGAGTCCATGCCCATGCCCGCAGGGGTAGGATGGCCAAGTGATGCTGCCCAAGGGGGCCGGTGGCCAGGCTGCCTGGCACAGCATGGCACAGCATGGGAGCCCCAGCCCAAGGCAGGAGGTGCCACAGGCCTCCCCTCCTCCTCCGAGCCTTCTCCGGCGCACTGGATTTACAGCACATCAGAGCAGCCTCCCTGCACATCTATAGGAGCTGAAAATGATTAGTTCATTTCCACAGAGTGAGTTAGACCTTACTTCTGGATGAGAGCATTTAAAAAGAACTACTGCATTTTAAATAATCCACTTAACATTCACACCATTAGTTAATGAACTTTCTTCATTGTCTCTCTACAGACAAGACCTAAGAGAAGTATCATGGCCAGATCCACCATTAGGAGCACTTCAATGAAGCAGCCGGTGCTTTCCTTGTCACTGGGATGGCCTTAAGAAGGGATGTGTTAACAAAGGAGACAGCTAAACCAGGACAGGTCAGACCATGCCACAGTACAAGTTAGAGCACTGCAAAATAATCCTTCAGTAGCCCCCAGAATGGCACAGCAAGGGAGAAAGCCAATATTTTAAAACCTAAATGACTGATTGTCCTCCCACTCACCCCAGTGCAAATCCGGACTTTACCCCACTGAGTTATGGGAGCTGATTCCCAGAAATAAACCAGGAGTATACTCCACTGGTCTCACAGTAGTGGTAAATTGGAGTATTGAGTGAACTTGAAGTTCACTGAACTGGTGTTATGATGAGTCTGACCTGTCATACAGACCTCATCCTATCTCTACAGCAGCAATTCTCTATCAGGGTGCTGAGGGACCCTGGGGTGCCTCAAGATCCTTTGAAGGGCATCTCAGGAATTATAAGGACATTTATAGATTTCATGTTTCAGGTCACATAAGCCAAATCAGTTCCAAATCATATCAATTGAGCAGAACTCCATCGTTCCCGAAAACCATATCAACTGAGCAGGCAGAACTCAACAGTTCTAAACACCACGTATCACACTACAACCGGCGACCATCCTCCATCCCAGACTCTCACCCTGGGAATTCAGATATTCCCAAATCCATTGGCAGGCATCCTATGCACACGCCCAAGCCTGGAGGTTTTGGGGTTTGGATGCCCCAAATACTACAGGCAAGCATCCTCCATCCCGGACTCTTTAGCCCGGGAGTTCAGATACTTCCTACACTCAGTCTTAGCTCACAAGAGGCCAAGAAGCAAAGTATGAGGAAATAAGCAAGGTATGAAAAGATAAGCAGGCACGGGCAAGCTCATGCTGTCTTTGCCTAGCTGCTCCCCATCTGAACTGCCTGCCTCTTCTGCAAAGAGGTAATAAACAGTGTAATAAACATATTCTTTTTTTTTTAATGGGATGCCACTCACTTCACAGAAGTTATGGAGGGGCACCTTGAGTCTGATGAGGTGTGCCTTGAGTCTAAAAAAGTTAAGAACCGCTGCTCTAGAGACTTCAAAGCTATGATACACCTGCTCAGGACTGACCCCCACACCAGGAACTAGCATTCCTTTCTACAACCCACCAATATACATACCGTCTGCAGAGTTTCCCTATAAAGTTCACTAGGAGATTTGCCCCTCTCTTTAGGATACAGAGTATAATTCAGCATGTCGGGATTTTGCTTGACTTCTTTTACTCTTGCCCTGATGCCATTCACCAAATACCAGGCATTGTCATTCATCTGAGAGAACTCTTTTAGCTTCAGGTGAAATTGTCTAATAAATTCACGCACAATCCTAGAAAAGAAAAGGCAACAGACAGGCAGAAAAAAAGAGTCAAAATGAGAAATCAAATTACATACTTAATTGGATATAAAAATGATATTGTTTAAAATATGTCATTTGTCAAACTGAAAAATCCCCCACTACAACTTAAGCTATGTTAGGAATATTATTCATAGATAGATGAATAGATATGATGATAGAACCTGCTCCTTGCATTTTCAATTACTTCAGTGGTGTTGCCACCTAGCTCATTAATTAGTAACAACATTTCAATCATTCTTCTGGTCGTCAACTTCAATCTTCAGATGACTTCTTTTGAAATAAGAGTATGTGTTGTGCTTTTTGGTGTTATTCTTGTCATTGTTATGATTTTGCTTTTGTTCTATACAGTTAAAAAGAAAAATATTCTTGTCTGGTCTAGTCTTATCTAGTCTGAGCTTTCTTTGGTGCAGAACTTTATATACCTTCCATTAAAGTTTATGGGAGTCTTTCTATTAAAATAACATATGTGTGGTGAGGCTCCTACAATTTATCCTACAAACCAGGCTACTGAGTGTTCTGTTTACCCCTGGGCATGGTCCCACCCAAACTGATGAGATAAGGAATGGTGGGAAATACTACGTCCTGCAGTTAGACTTTGTTTTGGTTTTGACGTTTTGCCTCCTCCCTAATCATAGCGCATATTCTGCAAACCATTCTCCTTTCCTGAGTGTGTTGGAGAAATGGGAGGTACGTTACCTGTGTCCTCTTGGTAAACGCATGGCTCCCAGCTCCACGTACCAATCTTGTGTCTCATCGCGATAGGTCTTGACCCGTCCTCCTACGCTACCACTGGTTTCCAGGACTGTGACCTGGGAACAAACAGTCCATAACTTCCAGTCACTAACAAAGTAGCTGCGAAGTTCTTAGCTACCGATGAACCACCCTCCAAACCCTGGGGCCTTAATCCTGGTCCAGGCAATTAAATGTTCTGATATCTCTAAGGTGCTCCACTGGCACCTCATCAGAGTCAACAGAGAGGAAGAAGTGCTTTGTCCCTCCGAAACTGGATGGAGGGCAGTGCAGGTGGTAAGTATCTGCCTCATTGAGTGCAAGGAGCCAGTCAAGAACTCAAGGCGCCTATCTCAAGCCACTCCATGAACTGTAAACCTTCTGGCTGGTTTGCTTCTTTTTGGCCCCATCTATTCCCTTCTCGTGGCTGTTGAGGGGGCCTATTTCAAAAGAAGTGCTAGACAAGGAGTAGATAGTGCTTGACTGGGGTTGGAGTATCATGCTAGGAAGGCAGATATTCAAACCCCGTTGGGAGATGGGGAGAGCTAGAACCTAGTCTGTGGTTTGCTAGTCAAGTGCCCAAGTCACTGTACCATCCACATAAGCAGAGCTCCCTGCACAGAAACAAAACTCCTGCATGCACATAAATCCCAAAAGTGCCATGTAGACAATCCAAAAATGGGCACTTAGATAACCAAGAAGAAATATGAGCTGCCCTGCCCTGACCGCTCATGTGGTTTCTGAGTCAATCAAAACTGAGTGTTGTTGTGTTGGTATTTTAATCTTCACATTCTTGAATGAAAAATATAGGTCCTTTACAGATATCTGTATCTCTACATTTGCTACTTTGATTTATTCCCCTTCTAGTGGCTAGGGTATTTTTAAATTGTAGCTTCTTCATTATTTTTCCATTTTCTATGTGTTGTGCTCTTGAATACAACTCCCTTAACTTTACTGAAGATTGAGGGAAATGCCCAGAAACAGAAATGTGAGTTAGGTCCAGGGGTGGATTCTGGGGGGGTACAGTGATGCAGTTGCACCCCCTTTTGATTTTTGCTGCACCCAAACTTTAAAAGAAAAGCTTGGGAGGGGCAGCAGCATTTCTATTCAGACAGTGCTGAGAGAGTCAATTGACATCATGACTCATTGTCATCTCCCTGATTCCTGTTAACTGCTCACCACTCCACAGGTGTTAATAATCCAATCTGTTTTAATGGTCTTGACTTTCCACTATTCAGTCTGTCCTTTCTTCTGCTATTCTGCTGTCTGAAAGCCATTCCTGGTGAGGTGGCTCTTCTATTTCACAACCATGCAGACTGCTTTTGACACTATCTAAAAACCTTAACTCAGGTGTGGTAATATTATTAACTCAGGTGTGGAAATGATGGACATTAAAGTATTGGAGGCACTATCAAGACACTCAAGAAGGTTACATTTTGTTTTATGAATATAAATCAGAGATGTATGTTTAACTACAATCATTATAGGATTAATGGGACAATATCTTTTGACTATTTTTTGCCTATTTTTCTGGGGTTTAAAATGTTATATACAATGTAGCAACTTAGTGACAGTCCAATAGTTATATTAGTTTTTTGCTTTAATCTTAAACTGAATAATGTTGTGTTAGCCCTCTAGCATGTAGTAAAGCTTCTAGTTCCCCTTTACCTGGAGAAAAATAATTGCTATGTTGTATGTAATGAATAATGATGCCAGCTATTAAAATGAAACTGGGACCATCTCAATCCTGCAATGGCGTTCACTAGCACAGACTTCTGCCCCCGTGTCGAATCCTTTTGATGCCATAGAAAATTAGGGTTGGAAAGAACCTCAGGAGGTCATCAAGTCCAACCCCCTACTCAAAGCAGGACCATCCCCAACTAGATCATCACAGCCAGGACTCTGTTGAGCTGGGCCTTAAAAACCTCCAAGGATGGAGATGCCACCACCTCTCTAGGTAACTCATTGCAGTGCTTCACCACCATCCTGGTGAAAAGGTTTTTCCTACTACCCAACCTAAATGTCAGCGGCTGCAACTTGAGACCATTGTTCTATCAGTTTAACTTGGTTTGGCCCGTTCTTCAGCCTAACCAGTTTTATTTTCAGACAATAAAAAAGGAAAAATGTGATAATTAGCACTGACTGCCTCTGACATCTCTTTCTTCAGGTAATTACCTTATGACCCGCATCCCTGAGAAGTTTGGCAGCAGTGAGTCCACTTATTCCTGCCCCCACAATGACAATCTTCTTTGGATGGGCTGCCTTTCCCAGTCCGTGTTTGGCAATCTTCACCAGATGATCATAATCAGGATCATGAAGGCAGTGTTCAGGATAGCTAGAAACGCCTCCCGCACTTAGAGCTAGCACAAGGACAAACAGCTGGAAAAGTGCTAGGGATAGATGCACAAACAAAAGAATAGTTCTGTTAATGACACAAGTAATCAGCAACTTCATTCTCTGTAACCCTGAAGGCAAGAGGCATGACAACTGGCCTGCCACCACCTACAGTAGATCTTGGGTCGAGTCTCAATTGTATCAGAAAGCAAAGATCAGTGTTTGACTTTACCAGCAGACATGTAATGTCATCATAGATTATGATAACTTTTGGGATGGGACTGCCATTTAAAATATGTTTCTCCCATGCCTTTCTGAAAGCTGGGGGTGAGCCCAGGTAGCACGAGTCAAGAATGTGACTCGTTCTCCAGGACAATGCAGGTGACACCCTTCACTGGTACATCATACCCAACATATAGAGACACAGTAGTAACTTCTCCCCTCCCAAACCTCCTAGGGATTTTGTGTAACCAGACTGAGATGCCTCAACAGGGCTAATTTTCAAATAGCAGGATGACCAGCCTTTCCAGAAAAAATTGGTTTCTTTTTAATACCTTTCAACATGGAGACAAACAAATTTCTCTTTGCAGCTCAGGCCATCTACAAGACATGGGCTTGCTGCTGGAATTGTAAAGTGAAATCCTGCAGTTTGTGTTACACAGGAGTTCAGACACAGTACTTGTAACTGTCCCTTCTGGCCCTTAGCATCTTGGAAGAATGAAGCTACCTATAATCTACAGACATTTAAAAAAATCTCAGTCCAAAAGAGAAAAAATATCCTTGTTGCCCTAAAGGCCTTGTCACACTGGGAATATTTCCCTCAAAATATAAAATCAGTTTTAAAATCAATTGATATAATTTTTAAACTATTTAACCCTAGGATAGACCATAGATTGTTCTAGTTATGTCTGAATTGTAGTTATAACTTTCTTCATGCTAATTTTCAAATTAGCTTGATTTAAAAACAACAACAACAATTTCACCCATGTGGAGAATGCTTTTGTTCGTGGAGTCCTCCAACTTGGGCGGAAACCACTCAAGCCTCTTATACGGCTAGCAAGCCAATCACTAGCCGCCACGTGTGAATAATTTAGAACTGGCCAATAATGGGACTCGAATTAGCATACCAATGGCGGGAACTCTTTGCAACGAGCATTTCTTCTCTGCAGCAAAGAAATGCACCCTGCAAAGTAAGCTTCAAATTGGCGGGAAATTCTCCCTTGCACCGGGGTTCTCCTCTGCAGCAGAAAACTCCACCGTGCAAGGAAGCTGCATTTTAGCGGGGACAATTTAGCAGTGCCGAAGCACACACAAAAACAAAAATCACACCCTTTGGGTTGTGACAAAATCCTGCAGTTTGTGTTACACAGGAGTTCAGACGCAGTAGTTGTAACTGTCCCTTCTGGCCCTTAGCATCTTGGAAAAATGAAGCCACCCATAATCTACAGACATTTTATAAGATCTCAGCCCAAAAGAGAAAAAATATCCTTGTTGCCCTAAAGGTCTTGTCGCACTGGGAATATTTCCCTCAAAACATCAAATCAGTTTTTAAATCAATCGATATAATTTTTTAACTCCTTAGAACCCTAGGATTCTAGTTAAATTGTTCTAGTTATGTCTGCATTGTAGTTATAACTTTCCTCATATTGATTTTCAAGTTAGCTTGATTAAAAAAAACCTAACAGCAATGACTTCACCCATGTGGATATTGCTTTTAGTTAAGGTTACTACTTAACTTTAAAGTCACAAAATATTTAATTAAAAAATGATGGTGAGGTAAGAATCTGTTGATTTATCTCCACAAGTCAATGAATTACCGCATTTTTATAGTAAGTCTACATGAATCCTACATAAATACTAACTGGCCGCGTCTACACAAGATACTGATTGTGCAGTAGCTCCTGACTACTGTGCAGTAGTGTTGCATGACAGCGTGATGTGCCACTACTATGCAATAGTCATAAGCTACTTCACAGTGAAAGCCATAAAGAAGCTATCTCACCACAAGTGCACAGTAACTCCTTGTTTATACAATACTAAATTACTGTGCAGTAACGACTGTGCAATCTGCATCTGATGTAGATGTGGCCACTGAATACTAATTCAGTTCTTCCTGAACAGAAACTTAGTTTCCAGTTTCTCTTTCAATTTCCAAAGACCTGCTGCAGCATAAGACTAGTTCTCTCTTTCCTTCTCCAATGGATACCAGTTTCACTCACGAAAAGAAATGACATAAGTTCCCCATGAGCAATATGGCTGGCTTTAACCACAGATCCTATAAATCTTATTCACATAAGAAGTCCCATGAAATCGTTGCTTTTATTATACTGGTAGTCCTCCCATGCAGTCTTGGACAAGCAGAGGTATTGAAGATGGAGCCATCAGCTTACTATTATTTAGTGCTTTCTCACAGTTATATCACATGAAGAAAACAGATCTATCTATTAGATCTGATCCTGTTCCCCATTAAGTTAATGGGGACTTGCAGTGTTTCAGCATCAGACCTTTAGGGGGACCAAACTTTATCTTTGATACTCATGAACGTGAATGTGCATTTTCTCTAAAAAATGCACAACCACTCTTAGTGTTTGATCCAAAGCATGATAATGCATAGGAGTTTTTCCACTGACTTCAAAGGCTTTAGGAGTAGTGGAGAAAAAGAAAAAGGATCACTGGAGAAGAAAGAAAAATATAAGCATGCAAAACAAAAAACATAGTTGGGAAGAAGAGGAAAAAAAGTAGAAGTGTTAAAAAGAGATGGAAGCAAAACAAGAAATCAAGTTGACAGTTAACAGGCAACACAACCCAACCCCACATCAATGCACTCAGCATAGAAGTTTCACTTACAGAATGTGTCCATGTTATCAGCACCAGCACAGATCATCAACTGAGAACTTTCTGTTTATAGCCTGCACCAGCCTATCACCAAAAGAAATGATCATGGAGCTCCTGCCAATCAGTGTGTTCTAAATTGGAGACGTGGTTAATAATGTTAAGGGGAAGTGATAAGGCCAATTTCTACATACATTTCCCTCGCCCTATGATGCATCCTTTGTTCTTGTGTCAACCATTTATTGGAACGCACGCAACTTTTATTTGTGGAAACTCCTCTACACTTAGGAGTCCTGGTTCACATATCTATCTATCTTCATCTCACTGATGATTGTATTAAGGCCCACTTCTGCTGGGGTGACATCAGATCCAGTGACCGAGGCAAGGATTTCTTAAGGGGATATATTTTATTGGACCAACAGTATAGTTCAGATAGAGTTAGACATGCTTGTGAATGCAAGGCACTCTTCATCAAGTCTGGAGAGCACAGGCTGCTTCCTGGCTGGCTGAGCTCTCTGGCCATAAATCCAACAGGTGTGTGTCGCACTAAAGCAGCACAAACTGATACCACCTAGGCACACCTACACAAGATGTTTACTTCGACTAATTAGCTGTGCGGTTAACGTTTTGGCATCTACACATGTCCATCTATTAGGGCTGGAGTAAACAAATTTACTCTGCAGCATGATAGTAATTGTAAACACAAGTACTATCCTGCTGTGGAGTAAAAAATTCTGCCTCAGCGCACTTCTGCCTGCCTGCTAGCCCCACACTGCAGCACCTTCATGCCCCAGTCAGCTGCTCCACAGCACACTGAACCAGGACGAGCAGCGTGGACTGGCAGGCTGACCCCCTGGGCCTCCTGCCAGCCAGGGCTGCTCCAACCCAGGTCAACATGCTGTGCTCCTGGGAACATGTTCAAACGGCAATACACTCTGGAGTTTAATCTTCCGAGTTTATTGCTCTTGGGCACACGTTCAAATGGTGCACCCCAGGAGCAATAAACTCCAGAGCAATGAACTCCAGAATCTATTACTTCACATTACTTGCATATGCAGACGTGTCCCCTATGTTGCAGTCACAAATGTGGGGCTTTTGTGGTGCGACAAGGGATAGGGACATTGCTTAACTTTTGTGCCGCCATAAATTTTTTTATGGCGGCACAAAGGTGATGTCTACTTCTACCCTCTGATACTGGGGGGGCTGCCAAAGATTGCTGGGTATTGCTGCTCCAGCCACTGCCTCCAAGGGTCACCGCTACTCTTTCACCACCTCCAGGGGTTATTGCTTCTCCTCCAAACCACCAGGGATTGCCACTGATGTTTAGGTTGCCTATGGAACCCCAGTTCTTCTAGAAGGCAGAAGGCTGTGTCCGAGTTCCCAGCCTTCTCCAGGGCTTTCACGTCTCACTCGGGGATACACATTAAGCACCTTCATCATGTCAGAAACCAAAATGCCCAGAGGGGAGGTATCTATCACTGATCAAAAGCAGCGCTGATTTCTGTACAAAGCATAACTCTCCAAGACCACTCTAGGTCACAAACATGGCCACAGGGGGGTGACCACTTTTTGCACAGAATGCCACAGTGGGGAGAGTACTCAGCCAGAAAGTGGGAAACCTGAGTTATTGTCTGCCCTCAGCCTGAGGGGACTCAGAAACATCTCCCACCTTCCTAACCAATAAGTGATAAAATAGTCTGGTTATGGCCATCTGTTGAAACTACACCAAAGGTCAGGAAAGAATGCAAGATTCCTGGGGACCAGAAACGCAGCAAGCAGGGAAAGGTATGCCTCTATTGCCTTGACAATCTGGTGATGAGGGCAATCTCCTGGGGGAAGGGAAAGACTTGAGTTCCAATTGCTGCTGTTGGGATAATTTGTCATTTCTCACAGTTTAATACACAAGACATAACCATTGCTCAAAGCAGAACTTTAACCCAGGACTTCCCCTTTCAAGGCAGAGTTCTCCTTGATGAATTATAAAATCATATGTCTTCTTGCTTATTCTTCTGACCCTATGATGCAAGAGTCATTGACCTTTTCTTACTCAGTAACCCAATCTTATCAGGAGGATGGAGAGTGTTTCCTTCCCTAATCCCCACCACCACCCCACAGCAATTTATTCTATAGCCTGGTGTTTAGGATAATCTGCTTGTAAAATGGAAATTTTGGTTCAAATCCCCTTACCCAGGTCTCCCACAGCCTGGGTGAGTGTTCTAACTACTAGGTCACTGGGGAGAAGGTAGGAAGTATCACCACTGTGGTGTAATTAAAAAGTTAAAGTGACCGCAGATGACCCCTGTGGTCATTTAACAGATTGGAGATTTAAGCAGAGGTTTGTCAAGCTCAGTCTGGAGCTAAGCACCCCTGAACTCCATCACTTTGAACTCAATCACTTCTGAGCATGCTCCAAAGAACTTTAGGCAGACAAGTTTCCTTGGGTGAATTTGATATCTTTTATTAGACCAACCCAAATGGTTGGAGAATAGTTATTAAGCAAGCTTTCAGGTTCAAAAACCCTTCGTCAGGCTGAGGAAGCTGCAGCAGTTGGTGTGTGCTCTTCCTGGATGGGATGAAAAGTAAAGAAGCCAGGGGCTGGGCTGGGCTGGGGAGTCAGTTGCCAGGCAGATTGTAATGTATCAAAAATCCAATGTCTGTGTTTAGTCCATGATCTCTAGTATCCAGCAGGTTGATGAAATGGAGCTCATAGGCTCGTCTCTGGGATGTGTTGTGTAAATTTCCCTTGAGGATCAGGACTGGGAGATTGGAGAGAGAGTGGCCCTCCTGTGAGAAATGTGCCCCCACCGGTAATTGGGT